TGGACCAAGCATGTGAGTAATGATGAGGTCTTATAGAGGATGCAAACAAGGAGGGGGCTTATACTTAACATAAGGAAGAGGCAGGACATCATGGATCGTGCATGTGAGCAATGATGAGGATCTTATAGAGGATGCAAACAAGGAGGAGGCTTATACTCATGGAATAAGGCAACATAAGGAAGAGGCAGGACATCATGGACAGAGCATGTGAGCAATGATGAGGTCTTATAGAGGATGCAAACAAGGAGGAGGTCTTAGGAGGCTTATAATTAACATAAGAAAGAGGCAAACTTAACTTATAAGGAAGAGGCAGGACATCATGGACCAAGCATGTGAGCAATGATGAGGTCTTGGAGAGGATGCAAACAAGGAGGAGGCTTATACTTAACATAAGGAAAAGGTGGGACATCATGGACCAAGCTTGTGAGCAATGATGAGGTCTTATAGAGGATGCAAACAAGGAGGAGGCTTATACTTAACATAAGGAAGAGGCAGGACATCATGGACCAAGCATGTGAGCAATGATGTGGTCTTATAGAGGATGCAAACAAGGAGGAGGCTTATACTTAACATAATGAAGAGGCAGGACATCATGGACAGAGCATGTGAGCAATGATGAGGTCTTATAGAGGATGCAAACAAGGAGGAGGCTTATACTTAACATAAGGAAGAGGCAGGACATCATGGACAGAGCATGTGAGCAACGATGAGGTTTTAGAGAAGTTGCAAACAAGGAGGAGGCTTATAATTAACATAAGGAAAAGGCAGGACATCATGGATCGTGCATGTGAGCAATGATGAGGTCTTGGAGAGGATGCAAACAAGGAGGAGGCTTATACTTAACATAAGGAAAAGGCGGGACATCATGGACGAAGCATGTGAGCAATGATGAGGTCTTATAGAGGATGCAAACAAGGAGGAGGCTTATACTTAACATAAGGAAGAGGCAGGACATCATGGACCAAGCATGTGAGCAACGATGAGGTTTTAGAGAAGTTGCAAACAAGGAGGAGGCTTATAATTAACATAAGGAAGAGGCAGGACATCATGGACAGAGCATGTGAGCAACGATGATGTTTTAGAGAAGTTGCAAACAAGGAGGAGGCTTATAATTAACATAAGGAAAAGGCAGGACATCATGGATCGTGCATGTGAGCAATGATGAGGTCTTGGAGAGGATGCAAACAAGGAGGAGGCTTATATTTAACATAAGGAAGAGGCTGGACATCATGGCCTGAGCATGTGAACAACGATGAGGTCTTGGAGAGGATGCAAACAAGGTGGTGGCTTATACTTAACATAAGGAAGAGGCTGGACATTATGGACCGAGGATATGAGCAACGATGAGGTCTTGGAGAGGATGCAAACCAGGAGGAGGCTTATATTTAACATAAGGAAGAGGCAGGACATCATGGACCGAGTGTGTGAGCAATGATGAGGTCTTGGAGAGGATGCAAACAAGGAGTAGGCTTATATTTAACATAAGGAAGAGGCAGGACATCATGGACCGAGTGTGTGAGCAACGATTAGGTCTTGGAGAGGATGCAAACAAGGAGGAGGCTTATACTTAACATAAGGAAGAGGCAGGACATCATGGACCAAGCATGTGAGCAATGATGAGGTCTTGGAGAGGATGCAAACAAGGAGGAGGCTTATAATTAACATAAGGAAAAGGCGGGACATCATGGACCAAGCTTGTGAGCAATGATGAGGTCTTATAGAGGATGCAAACAAGGAGGAGGCTTATACTTAACATAAGGAAGAGGCAGGACATCATGGACCAAGCATGTGAGCAATGATGTGGTCTTATAGAGGATGCAAACAAGGAGGAGGCTTATACTTAACATAATGAAGAGGCAGGACATCATGGACAGAGCATGTGAGCAATGATGAGGTCTTATAGAGGATGCAAACAAGGAGGAGGCTTATACTTAACATAAGGAAGAGGCAGGACATCATGGACAGAGCATGTGAGCAACGATGAGGTTTTAGAGAAGTTGCAAACAAGGAGGAGGCTTATAATTAACATAAGGAAAAGGCAGGACATCATGGATCGTGCATGTGAGCAATGATGAGGTCTTGGAGAGGATGCAAACAAGGAGGAGGCTTATACTTAACATAAGGAAAAGGCGGGACATCATGGACCAAGCATGTGAGCAATGATGAGGTCTTATAGAGGATGCAAACAAGGAGGAGGCTTATACTTAACATAAGGAAGAGGCAGGACATCATGGACCAAGCATGTGAGCAACGATGAGGTTTTAGAGAAGTTGCAAACAAAGAGGAGGCTTATAATTAACATAAGGAAGAGGCAGGACATCATGGACAGAGCATGTGAGCAACGATGATGTTTTAGAGAAGTTGCAAACAAGGAGGAGGCTTATAATTAACATAAGGAAAAGGCAGGACATCATGGATCGTGCATGTGAGCAATGATGAGGTCTTGAGAGGATGCAAACAAGGAGGAGGCTTATATTTAACATAAGGAAGAGGCTGGACATCATGGACTGAGCATGTGAACAACGATGAGGTCTTGGAGAGGATGCAAACAAGGTGGTGGCTTATACTTAACATAAGGAAGAGGCTGGACATTATGGACCGAGGATATGAGCAACGATGAGGTCTTGGAGAGGATGCAAACCAGGAGGAGGCTTATATTTAACATAAGGAAGAGGCAGGACATCATGGACCGAGTGTGTGAGCAACGATGAGGTCTTGGAGAGGATGCAAACAAGGAGTAGGCTTATATTTAACATAAGGAAGAGGCAGGACATCATGGACCGAGTGTGTGAGCAACGATTAGGTCTTGGAGAGGATGCAAACAAGGAGGAGGCTTATACCCTAACCCTAACCCAGGAAGAGGCAACTGAAATGTCTGTGACACGTAATGAGAAAGGAAGTCTTGGAGAGAGTGATACTAATACTAGAGGGAAAGAGGGAGAATAAAAAGCAATGCATTACATACCTAGTAGGCCTAAGCAAATGGATGACAGAACAGGGCCTAAGGAAGTACAAAAGGGCAAAACATATTGCGTCCTACAAGGGATAAGGGGAAGTGGAGACCATGATCGCCTACATCCTGAAGGAACATGGCACATAAAAGAAGAACCTCCTTTCTACAGACAGTTTACATTTGAGAGTCTTTCTAAGGATCTAGATGCAACTAAATTCATACATTATTTAAATTATTCAGACCATTGTCCTCATCTTTGTCGCCATATTTATTACAACATTTCAGCCATTGTACGCTCTGGCCTTCTTCAGGTGGTTGGAATGTCGAAATGAACCCTTTATTTTGTTCACTGGGGTAGACTGTTCTAGTTTCACATGCCATGCTTAATGGATGTCAGTTATCAGTTATCTTCTGTTAATTTCCTTCTGAAATTTCTGCACTGCCTTAACCGGGTATTGAACACACACTCTTTGGGTCCTGTCACTGGATTTAACCAACACCTTTATCCTTTAGGACATCTGTGTATGAATTTCTGGATATTATAAATCTAATGTCTCAGCAATCATTTTTTACCAGAGCTTATATTGCAATTTTTGCTGTTACCATTGCATGTTTTTACCAGAGCTCAATAGTATGAATAATGTAAATAATGTACATAATACCACATCTCAGAAATATAGACAGAAATTAAATTAAATTCATGTTGGCATCCTCACTGTTCCAACTTAGGAGAGGAAAAAACACATGGTGGTTTTCCACTACTCTTGCTCATAAACAGATATGCAGTGTGCGTAAGTCCATAGGAGACATATCTGTCCGGTTATGGTCAGGCAACTGACAAGCAAATATGTGGTATTGAATGGGATATTTACTGTAACCCATTTATTCCACCATGATATATATTTTAACACTCCAATCAGTTAAGATCAAAATCTACAAGAACTATGCCTGGTATAGAGTCAGCGCATTTATTATTATTATTATTATTATGATTATTATTATTATATTGGTGTTGCACATTGATCTAGTATTATACGAATAATAACCTATTTCTGTCCCATAATACTTGTTACATTTAGCATATGAAATCTGTATGCAAATTTACCAACTATTATGGGACAGAGATAGTATTATTTTATGAACCAAGGTGCATTTTGCATGTAGCCAATCTGTGAAGATCTGGCAACTGGAAGATAAATATGTGATACTGAACAGACTATCATTTAGTAGCTTAATCCAATCATGATGTACATTTTAACGCTCCAATTAATTAAGATCAAAATCCATAAGAACCATACCTAAGGTAGCATCAGGACATTTATTATTATTAATATTATTATTATTATAAATGCTTTGATGGCAATGATAAAAATAGAGTTTATAATTTCTATGACAAGCTATAACAATCAGAAACCTATTATTATACCAGTGATTCTTAACATGGTCCAGGTGGACGACAGGTGGTCCACATTGCATTTCTAGTGGTCCACAGAGAATTTGTAGCCATAAAAATATTGTAGCCATTTCACAAAAATTTATTTAAATTATTCATACTTTAAAGAATTAAAAAATATATTTTGTTTAATTACACACGTGTCCATTATATTTGAAAATTTCAAAATTACGCAGGGATTATGCACTGCTATATTTATTTTTTTTTTATCAAATATATTTATCACATATATATATATATATATATATATATATATATACTATATATGATATAAATTTTTTATTCATATAAAAAATTATACCTATGTTAATAGATCACTATCCTGTGTTTATCCTTGTTTACAAAAATAAATTTTAAAGTGTAAATAGACTACTTTTTAATTGAGTATTTTAGTATGAAAATTATAAGAGTGGTCCATTTGTATTTTTTGAAGAAGAAAATGTCCATGGGCTGAAAAAAGATTTAGAAGTACTGTATTATACGAAGCCGAAACATTGTTTTGCATGACTTCTAAACATTGTAGAACTGTTTTTGTATCAGAATCAGAAAAATGCAGATGTTTCAATCCTTTCTGTGGCCAAAAAAGCTTTGGGCATGAAAAAGATGCATCGCCCTGATTCCAAGTGTTGCTCAGTTAAGTTGCAAAATTTTCAGTTTTGTTTTTTTGTTTTTAATCTCTTTTCTCCTCTGTTTTTGCGCTTGTTTTTTATTTGTTATTTGCTTACTGTTCACTCAGCTTTCTTCACAAATCTGCTTTGAAAAGCTATTCAATGACTCCTGCACAAGGGCTTCTATAAAAACTTCAATCTTAACCTCTTCAGGTCAAGGGTCAATCATTGTCTATCCCCCTTATCCTCATAATCTTCACTATCTACCAACCCTCTTCCATCTATATCACACACCTTATTCAGTATCCCCATTAATCCTAATCATGTTAAAACACTGTTCTTGTGTGATCAACAATGTTAAGCAACATCGAGTCTGGTCAGTACCTAAATGGGTGACTGCTTGAGAATACCAGGTATTCTTTGATGTGCAGGTGGTGTCATAGATAACAGCTTGGAATTGGAAGTCAAAGAGAGCCAAGTTTCAATTCCATTTTGGTTTTGCAAATAAATGAATCTACCTCTTCTCCTCAATAAATCATTATTGTAATAAAATTCTTACAATGTAAAAATATTTTCTGGCTTTAAATAACCTTCAAAAGGTTGATAATGTTGTGGTAAACCTTCCTACAGTAAAATGAACTCTTCCTCCTCTCATAAATACTAACTGTGAGACTTTCTAAGGGCAGTCGAGTGAGCAGCCAAGATGCAGTGTTAACCTATCGTTCGGACGTACACTTCTATCTGCTTATTACTAACACTTCCTTTGTATATATTCTGTATTTCAATACACTTGTTCAACCAACCTTCATCTTCTATGTCTTTCTTTCTGGCTCCTAAACAGATAAGCTATAAAAAAAAAAAAACAATCAATCACTCATTACTACTTTGAGTTGTCCTCAAGCCTTGTAAAATGGGATTATAATCTTGCTTTGAGACAAAAAGATGAACTAAAAGCAACTTGTGAAAAATACAAGAGTCGGCTGAAAAGTTCATAGCCTGACTATGAAAGAGTAATGATGTATGTATGTATAGCTGGCCACTTGTATTCGAGGATACCCGTCTACTAGGGTGGCTAACGAATCCCTATTGCCGACATTTGCTCAGGTGCATTTGTGTTCATTCAACACCCACATAGCCCACCTGTGGTTTATACTGCAACTATGCTGAGCAGACCTTAGTTAAAGTTTCAAGGAAAGAGCGTGTTATCTCGTGTGATCAACAACTTGAACAAGGCCAGCACGCTCAAGCCCTCGGCCATGATGACTTCTGACTTTGTGCTAGCTATCAACAGCACCGAAGTGTTCAATCTACCAAATTTCACTCACAAGGCTTGGGTCAGCCTGTGGTATGGTTTTCAGGCACCACACGCTGGGATCGACCCCCTCCAGTCCAATAACTTCAGGAAGTCTCCTGCCTAACAAATTGACCATGGTAAGTTTCGAACTCAGATCTCATGGTCAGAATGCGAACATTCTAACCACTCGGGCACGTGATGATAGAACAATGAAATCAAGCATGCCTTAATTTCTCCTCTTATTAATAATTGCATTATTTATTTCTAGGCAAACTGACGTCTGACTGTTCAAAGAAGACTTCAGAAGTAACTAGTAGTGACTTCTCTTGAAAATGGACAAAATTTGGCATCATAATGTGATCAAGTACCTGCAAAAAAGGGTTTAGTCCCCAAGAACATTCATGTTGATATGGTTACTGCATTAGGAATGATATCCCAGCTTTATCAACAGTGCAAAAGTGGGAAGCTGAATTTATGAGGGGAAGAGAGATTCTTGAAGATGACCCAAGTTCTGGACATCTTGCAACTGTCACCACTGAGAAAAAACATTGATCGTATTCACCACATGGTGATAGACAACAAGCAATTGATTATAAATCAATTAGCCAATGCTATTAGCATATCCGATGAGAGAGTGTTGAGAATATTCTGCACAATGAACTTGGCAGGACAAAGGTTTCTGCTTAGTGGGTGCCATATCTTCTGACACTTCATCAAAACTGCACCAGGCTAATCACATCACAGGAAAATCTGACATTGTTTGAGACAGATCCTAATCCAGGTTGAGTGTTGGATTCATCACTTTGGGTAAGAAATGAAGAGACAATCCATGAATTGTAAACACCCCTCCTCACCTGCTGCAAAGGAAGCTAAGGTCGTTTCATTGCAGAGAAGGTGATAGCCTCAGTTTTTTGGAATGCATTTTTTGATAGTGCTGTAACCTAGGGAAGGTTACTGAATAGAATAATCACACGAAGGTTGGTAATGAATGATAATGCTTAAGACAAGAAAAACGCATATAAGATTCGACAGAGGCAGGTAGAAGAATTAGTCAACTGCTAGAAGTGAATCAAGTGAATTGCACAATGAATCTCCAACTGCAGACCAACATACAGTATTTACTACTGTATTTATATGAATGGGGACATACCCACTATTATCCGTAGGTATGCTACAACATTTATAATGAAATTGTTCAGCATTCAGAGCCATATAGCAGGCTATACATTATCTAGAATTTGTAATCTCTTCTTTGTTTCTAAAGTTTTTCAGTCTCTGAAAAGCATCTTTTGCTATTCTAGTGCCTCTTCAAATTTCTTTGTCATACTTTCCATCATCTATTAATACTCTAAGCAAATGGTTGAAATTCAACACTTGTTTACTTTTGTTATCTCTGTTGTGTAATTCATATCTTGGACTGCACCTTTTGCTTACCACAAAATATTCTAGCTTAGAATTAATTAATCTATCATCAAGATTTCATTCTATGAAAAACAACACAATCAAATCAATATACAGTATTTTCTCGATTATCTGTACCTCGATTTTCCGATCTTCGGTTATCCAGACGTGAAATGAACAGAAAAAAAATTGAAAGCACCCGAACATTTCTCCGTTATTTACTGTATTTATGTGAATGGGGACATACCCATTATTGTTTGTAGGTATGCTACAACAGATAGCCTCAGTTTTGGGAGATGCCAAATGCATTGTGTTTATTGAATATCTTCAAAAGGGCCACACCATTAATGGTGAGTTCTATGCTAATCTGCTGAGGCAATTGCAAAAAGTTATCAAGGTCAAAATTGCTGAAAGGGTTCTTGTTTCATCAGGACAATGTTCCAGTTCACAAGTCTTTGGTTTCAATGGTTGCTGTGCGTGACAACGGCTTTGGACTGGTTGATCACCAATCCTTATTCTCCTGATTTGACCCCATCTGACTATCATCTCTTCTAGAATATAGAAAAACACTTAGCTGGAAAAATAGTATCAAGGTGATGAGGCGATATCTACGGCTGATGACTTCTTTTTTTCAAGATGAAAGCTTCTTCACCATTTAGATCCAAACACTGCAACACCAATGAAAGGCATGTGCGGACTGCAAGTAGGACTATGTTGAAAAATATATCTCATTTGGTCACATTCCATGAGAGTATCTTAGTCTATGAACTTTTCAACCGAGCCTCGTATATTCTGATTAAATAATTTTGAACTCGTGTCTCTCCATCTTAGGTCGAGCAGAATATTTAGTGGTATTAACTAGGGATTTTAATGTACCTAATAATTCGATGAATTTAATTGTTTTTCCTCTCGTAGATCATATCTTTTGCAAGCCCTATTTCCAGCATCACTATGCTTTCAGTTGCGTATACCTCCTCATATTTTCTCAATAGAATGCTACTATTTGGCCTAATGTTCTGCATAAACACAGGCATAATTATGCAATGTATATTTTCAAACATGTACAGCTTAGAGAATATCTTGGTCAGCCTATAAAATTTTCAGCCGACCCTCATAATATAATAAAAAAAGTAATACAAAAATTATTGCAAAATTCAAATTTATCCTCATTCATAACTTTTAATATTTGGTTTTGAAAATATATTATGATTTGTATCCAAGCTAATTGGAATTATGATGTATTTTTTAAGCAATTAATGAATTTTGCTTTTTTCTTTTTTTTATAACTATCATATTGTGATTCTGTTTGTTCCTTTCTTAGTTAGAACATACTTTCCGATACCTCATAAATAATGGACTATTTCATTTTAACTATGATTCATTCATTGATTGGTTTCTTTCACGACTTATCCACAATTTGTGAGTTATTTAAAGCCAAAACATATTTTCGGATTGAAGAAGGTTGCTTACGGTACCTGTTGGTCCCCCATCTAAAATCTGATCTGACTTGATGCTGCTTAACCTCAGTGATTTTATTCATGAGGAAAGACAAAAAAGACATATCAGAGAAACTGTTTGTTTTTCAGTGAGAAAAAGAAAGAAAGAAGAAAAGAAAAAGAAGACAGAGGAGGTGATAACACTCTCATGTGTTTAACGTCTGCTTCAGTGAAATGGAAAAATTTGTGAAGATCAAATCTTCTCATTTGTACCCACTTCTTTAAATAACAGTCTACATTCATATTTATGCATGAAGAAATATAGTCTTAAGATGTGCTATATTTATGTGATAAAGTGCTCAATATCATAGATGGAGCGTGTGTAAATATAAAAGTGAACATAAAAGTCAACACTTAGAGGTGACAGTCTGTTTCATTCATGTGGCCTGAAATATTGCATCTAGCATGAAACAGACTGTTGCCTCTAAGTGTTGGGTTTATGTTCACTTTTATATATATATATATATATATATATATATATATATATATATATATATATATATAGGCATATTTTCTCCATTTTTTCTTTAAATAATTTTGTAAGTTTCTAAACTTAATGCATGGTTATATTAAGAGTTTAATATTCATAAGTTTTATTTCTTAATTACATAATAAATTGGAGATTAATTAGTTATGATTTCCTATAAAATTTAATATTAATTTTAAAGCATTAATAAATTGTATCTTGTGTCTGTTGTCATGTTATTTGAATTTGATTGGCTATTATATCTTGTGTAAAAATATTCCCCCTAGTGGGAGTAGTGGTTGTTTTTGAACTCTTTCAAAACTTTTTACATTACAATCAACACCATTACTTGACAAGACACCAGAAGT